ACAAGTATAACATACCGGGCCCGTCACCCGGCAGACTCCACTGTGCGACCTCCCATATTTGGCACACCGGTCACAACCCTGCTGGCCCCTACCAGAAGAATCTGAGGTCTTAGGCTTTTTAGCCTGACCTACAGCTGTCTGAACCTGCTCTGGCTTCCGCTTGGTGCGAAGCTCCAACTCCATTTCCCGCTCCCAGGCCTTTTCCACTATCTCATTCAGGTTTTTGCACCCTATAAAGCTCATGAACTCACAGATATCATCCCTCAGCATGGAATGATACCTCGTCCTCCTCATATCCTCATCCATAGCATACTGCAGAATCGACAGTGCTCGCTCCCGAAACTTGACGGTGATCTCTGCCACAGTCTCGGTGGTCTGCTGTAGCTCCTGGAACTCCCTCACTAACTGTTGCACCTCAATAGATGGTGCAAACTCCAGATCAAAGCGCCTGACAAACTCCTCCCATGACATCTCAGCCACACCGACTGATCCGACTTGGCTAGTCACCTCCTCCCACCAATCCCTGCTCGGTCCCCTCAACATACATGAGGCAAACCCCACCTTTGCCGCCTCGGGGCAAAAGCTCGTGCGTTGGGCATTCTCCATGTCTGTCACCCAACGTCGACTAGCTATGGGGTCCCTGAACCCGAAGAACTCAGGCGCTCCGCACGACTTGAACTCCCGGAACTAGGGAGTTCGGGCCCCGACCTGGCCCGCAGCAATCTCGGCTCGGAAAGACATGAGCCGCTCCTCCATGATCTCCATCATCCCTTCCTTGACGGTCCCGAAAATCACGGGGGTAGTGTCAAGGATGCCCCTCGTAACCTCAGCTGCGATGAGCTCGCGCAACCTCTCGTCAGTGGGCTCGGTATTGTAGCCCGACCCCGATCCCGATCCTGATCCTCCTGCTCCATGACGTGTCACCACCATTCTGAACTGAAAAATATACGATACAATATAATGACCAGGATCTTCAAAGGGATTCCTCTACAATGGTCTCCTTAGAGCTCCCAGATTTAACATTGGTTCGGGTACAGATCATGTGCTTTCAGTAGTACGGGCCCAATACTACATTCCACACCTACCTGTACCTTCCCCAAGGCTCTACCTGATAACTCTAATTCGCCCAGAACAAAACATATCCCACAAACTACCGCATAACTCAAATCCTAGGCTACCCTAAGATTTGGTCCATTCCCAACAAACCAGAGCCCAAATCAATCATAACAGGTTTCCCTATGCATGCAAATTATACACAGAACAGGATCAAATAAACTTTCGAATAACAGACTCTACCCTAGGACCACAACCAGACAAGGAACAGGAAATAAGGCCAAATCAATGATTCTAAGGCTATAAGATTCTAACCGTATACAATTTTTAAAGCATACACATAGCAAAATCCATCCCACTATTATATTCCAAATATCAGTATAGCATGGCTAACATATTGGGGGAACCACTTACTTGAGCTCGGCCGATTAAGCGCATTGCACTCTCCCTTTTTCGGTTTTAAGAAGTTTTAACTTTGATTTTTGAAAACAATTTAACCATTTCCTTAGTTTGAGATCTGACACACTCGAGAGTGTGCCCGAATCCTTCAAACCAAGGCTCTGATACCAACTTGTAACAACCCAAATTTCCAATAAAAATTTTCATTTTAAATAACCAAAACATTTCCAAAAGATATAAAATTTCCAAACACATTTGTTTTCAAAATCCATAACATCAGATAAATTATTCATACAATCAGAGTGTCCCAATGAAATGTCAGAGAGTGCATGCCGCGCCATCACGCCGAGCTCTTGCCCTTAGAACCTGAAGTACCTGAAACAACCAACAAACTGTAAGCTAATGCTTAGTGAGTTCCCCAGAGCATACCCCACACAATCCACATACTCACATAAACCACATCAGCCATAATAGCTACATAAACCACATAAGTCATGCATACAAACATATAAGGATGCCATGGAAACCCTGCAAGGTCGTACACCGGGTGCCACTGGAACCCCCATGTGGTCTTAACCCACTGTCATGGGAACCCCCACATGATCTACCTGCCACGGGAACCCCCACATGGTCTTCACTAACTGCCATGGGAACCCCCACATGGTCTTAGCTAACCTAAGCAATATCATGCAAGCTAATCATGCAAACATACTAGGATTCCATGGAAACCCTCCAAGGTCTTATACCAAATGTCATGGGAACCCCCACATGGTCTTAATTCACTGCCACAGGAACCCCCCGGGGTCTTCCATGCAAATGTCATACCAACATAACACATAATCAACTATCAATCCACATATCACATAATGGGCCGGCCTTGGTGCCTTTGACCCATTGGTATGGTGAGGAGACTCACCTCTCAAGAAATATCGAACCGGTAAAAATCCAATCCCAACACACAGCTCCGAACTCAACCGCCTACAACCACCATGTGACTAACTTCATCAAAATCCCGAAATACCAAGGATACCCTTAAAGTCAAACTTGGTCAACCATGGTTAAAGTCAAAGTCAACAATCAAGGTCAATAGTCCATGTTGACCCAACTCATCGAGTGCATCTATCAACTCGTCGAGTTCCTTCAGTCTTCAGAAAACCGAGAAAACCCTAGCCAACTCGCTGAGTCATCTCATCAACTCGTCGAGTTTGCTCAATAATCAGAAAGGTCGGGGGACCACGATCCAACTCGCCGAGTTGGATAAGCAACTCGTCGAGTTTTCCTAGTCCTATTTCATTCAGTCACTTCCAAGCGCGTCCAATGCCTCCAAACCATAGATCTGGTCCCCTAGGGCTGAGATACCACGTAAAGTTGCTAACTTTACGTCCATGCATGGTATCAAGAGGCTAAAAACACTAAAACTAAGCTTTATAAGAGACCTAGGGCATGGAGGAGGGTCAAGACTTGATAAAGATGACAACTTTAAGTCTCAGAATGCCATGAAATGTCTAGATCTAAAGTCACAACTTCAAGACATGCTCAGATCCAAGAATGACTCCAAAATAAGCTACTAAAGGCCATAAACTTCTCAATGAAGAGATCTATCAAATAAATGGTCAAGGTATCGACTTTATACCTTAATATGGCTGCCACAACAGAGAAATTTCAGGATCCAAAGCTTCTCCCTTCAACTAAGCACCACCAAACTTCAAGCTCCTTCAAGAAAGCACCAAAAATCACTATCCAAGCTCACACACACAAAATGAGAGAACAAGCACAAACTAGGGTTTCTCTGGACAAAGGGGGCGGTAAGGGAGGCTAACAATGAGGCTTAAGGCCTTTAAATAGGGTGCAAACCTTAAAAATTAGGGTTTTCCTTTCCAGCGTCTACTTGTTGAGTTGGGGCCTTCCAACTCGTTGAGTAGACCCTTAATCCCGCGTCCAAAACGATTCCTACACGACAAGTTAGAGCTCCCCAACTCGTTGAGTTCCAGCCCAAAACTCTAAAGTGTTAAGAAATAAATGATGCCTGAATCAAACGTTACAAAATCAATAATCCTCCAATGATAATATTACAGTCACTATGTAACACCTGTTTCGCAAAATAGATCAGTAGATGATATAAAAAGAGTCAAATACATAGTTTTTGAGGAAAACAATATGACACGACGTGACATGAAGGGTGTCACGACGTGGCATTCCAAAAGAAGAATGCGTATTCCGGATAGTTACCACGATGTGACAAGAAAAGTGTCACGACGTGGCGGACGCTGCAGCCTAAGCCTATGATTTTTAGGATTTTCTCTATATTTAAGCACCTTAACCTCAAATTAAGGCATCATTTTTCAGCCTCCAACCTCTTCATTTCCAAAACTCTAGCCCCATTGAGTGTTCTTGGTATTTTCGGCCATTTGAAGACTCATTTATCATATTTTGCTCCCTTGAGCTTGAAGATAATTTATGCCACATAAATGCAGATATTAAACTAAAATAAATGAATTATAGAAACAAAATAAATAAATAAATATCCACGGTATCTTAAAATTAAGGAAATACGTACTCAACGGTCCACATTCAAGTCGATCGATAAAAATCAGTCGATTCAATCCGTTCCAACACAAAACCATGGCTTCAATACTGAGGAAATTAAGAGACGTAGGTTGCTACTGCTACGTCAATGTGAAAGGTTAATTCGAGAAATCCTGTTTCCAAAATAGAAGCCCTTCAACCTAAACTATCAGCTTTTTGAATCGTCAGTCTGACCTCTTCAGCAAAGTCACGTTCTAATCTTCGCTGTGGAAGATAATGACCAGTAGACGTGTTAAACTTATTTGGGGTCTATGCTTTTGGTCCCATCGAAGACGAAAGATCCAAAATTTATAGGTACCACTATAGAATTCTTCCAATTCGATTATTCTACACATATTGTTCGTGGTCCTTCTTCTTCCTTTTCTGCTCCGTATTTAATGCGTTCAACGTTTCAATTAATGAAATAAAAGGACAAGACTTTGTCTGTTCATCATACAATAAGTTTGTGAGCATATACAACTCGCCGTAGTTGTTACTTTCATCCCTTCTTGAACTAGTCTCTGTTTATAGACAATTCTTACATACCCCAAAAGAAAATTCCCACAAATTGGCAAATTCTTTTTATTCTACTCTATCATAATCAGCCTCAGGTAGCTGCACAATAGGTGTTCGAAGAAATTACTGAAAAGTGAAAAGTTAAATTGTCTTTATTTTATGTGGCTACTGTTTTAAGTTCTACGTTTTTGTCGTTTACCTTGTGATATAGATTTTTCTTTCTCTCTTTCGCCAGCTGTGTAACAGCCATTACTTTTATAGTTTGATTACGACATTCTTTAGTTTCCTCTCTGGTTTTTCTTTAACTATAACTGGTCCCGAGTCGGTCAACTTTTTTGGGTTGTTGAATTCAAAAAAATCTCGTCTACAAATTGCATGCTACTTCTTTCATAAACTTTCGTCAGGTTGCCTAAATAGTAGAATTTTATAATTGAAAGATTACGTCTTTCATAAGTGGTGTTTCTCATATGGGAAAGTTATTATGTACAGAAGATGGAGATCACTTCAATAATATTCATCCTGGATGCATGTCTGGTGTATTTCCTGTTCTTGACTACCAAAATTGGCACTCTAATGTCAAAAAGATACTACCTCATAGAAAGCAAGCTAAGCAACAAAAGACTAATGGAGGAATCTTGCATTATCAAGACTCTTTTGAAACATCACAACTTTCATCGGGAAAAAGAAGTCTCATCCAGGTATATATATATATATATATATATATATATATATATATATATATATATATATATATATATGTTCATTTACCATTAGATCTATCTAATGTTTTATTTTAACTTGCACAAAATGAATTGAAATTACATTTTTTTTTCTTCAGACAGATCAAAGTAATCGAAAACATAACTCACACAGAAGGTCAATTAAAGATCGTTTAAAGTCATTGGTTTCTGAAGACACTTTAAAGAATGACCATAAGAAACGAGGTCGAATGTTGCAAAGAACGTATTCAATTCATCATTTAGAAACCGATGAATGGGTTCATTATGCCAATAGTGAAGAGTTTAGTGAAAAAAACCCTGATAAAAAGGATACAAACAAGGAGATTAAGGATTATGTGGATATATCAGAAAATTCAAGAATCTTGCTAGATGGTTTAAAAGTCTCTCTTACAAAAGCAAAATTGACAAAATCAGGTTCTTTTCCCTCCATGTTAGGCAGTAGAAATTTGAGGCCTACTAAGCTAAAGCACAAGCTTAATGAGTTCTACTCGATGCCCAAAAACAAAAAGGGTTCAGATAATTGGGCACGAAAATTGGATTTATCAAAATTGGAATCTTTAATGATTGAATTAGATGATGAACAAGATGGAAAGAACATGGAAGATGATCTCAATAATGGCAGTGTTATGTCCATCAAAAGGATATGTTCCCTCAATGATAGACATGCCCAATTGTTTGACAATGGTGATACTAAGGAAGCCATTTTGTGCAGTTTTAGAAGCTTGAAGTTGACAAATCATATTAGCAACTCAGACTTCCAGTTAACTGATTTTTATTCATTATCTATTGAAGAAGAAAGTGGTCAGAAAACACAGGACATCAAGTCAAACACAGGACACCAATTAGAGTTTCAGATATCAAAAGGTAACTCGATATTAATAGTATTTCTTACCATTTCTTTCTTTGATATTCATGTTATGCAGTTTACAATTGACATGTTTACTTACATATTGCAGGGTTGAAACCATTATGTGTTTCAGAAGAAGGTGTTAAGGACAATATCAAGAGTGTAAATAGTAATACACATGATCACAATGATGAATACTTCAATTATGTAAGGGAGATATTGGAGCAATCAGGTTTCATCAAGAATGGCTTTGAGCAAACATGGTATTCCTCAAACCAGCTACTAAATCCTTCAATGTTTCAGGGTATAGAGTCTCAATATCAATGTGATCCAGAATCCTTTGAAGAAGAAGTCATTAAATTATCACATGATTTACATCGGTTTGAATTGGTTGATGAGACTTTGCTTAAATTGTATGAAAGATCATTCTCGTACTATCCAAAAGCTTTGTCCTATTCTTGCCACCTTAGTCCTGCCCCTAGTGGTAAACTTGTTCTTGAGGAAGTGTGGAAGAGTGTAAGCAGATTGCTGAAGTTAAATCCCAATAAGGATCAATCATTGGAGTATATTGTGTCGTGGGATTTAAATGTGGGTGGTGATTGGATGAATTTACAGATGGAATCCGAGTGCATTGCACTTGAGTTGGAAGATATGATTTTCAATGAACTTTTAGGAGATGTGTTTAGCTCTTAAGATAGTTAAGTAGTAGATATTGTGGGTTAATAGATTGTGTAAATATCTTCATATAGTTAGTTCAATATTTTGGTTTATCTTAGGAGATAAGTGTCAATGTTTATAGATATTTAGATACTATTTTTTTTTATCATGTAAGCTCTTGTATATATACCCTACTCAAAGGGTAACGGAATCAACAATTGGGAATATCTTGATTTTTCACTAGAACTCCACCGTTATCATCCTTAATATATCTAATGTTTCCTATGTCTTTGTCTTATCTCTTTGGCTTTTGTTAGCATGTAAGTTCCTTTCTCCCATTCTTTTGTGTCAAGTCTGAAGTCTCCTATGTGTTGTCATATGCCACATGACTTAGCTTTCTTCATCATTTTTTCTTTGCCTCTTGATTTACTTCCTTGTATCTTTCCTTCACTGCGTCTCTTTACATGTTCTCCCCACATTCCATGTTAGAGTTGGGAGGAGAATAAGGTTTTTGAAATCGATAAGTAACTCGGATATTCTTGAAGGATTGTGTGAACACTTTTCGAATATGATATTTCGACCTTATTTATATTTATGTCTAGTTTACACGAAATCCAAATTATGAGGATAATCCTTCAAAGAACAATCTTAAATCAAAGCCATGATAAAAGACCATGCAATCGAGATTAATGTTGGTTTCATCCCTCAATTAAAGGATGACGGTTTCAAGGATAATTATGGATAATATATTCCGAAAATAATATTTTCCATAACATATAAATTTTTGGGACCCCCCGCCAGGTGTGTTGCCCCCTTGACCCTATCATTTGGTTGAACCGAGAACAAAATAGTTTTATACAAGCATGCACTCCGCATCTCCTAACTTGTAATAAAATAAAGATTTGAACTCCATTGGTAATCTGTAAATTTCATTATACTAAAATGACATGGTGACACTAAAATCATCAACACTCCAAAAACTCATTAAAGCAAATTTGTTTAACATTAACCTTAGCTTCAACCGCCTCGCTTCACAACCATGATCTATAATGATTCTTGGCCTTCCTAGTTCCTTGTCGACATCCCCACCGTCTCTTTTATCACCTCTTTGGTGGACCGTGACATACTATTCCATAGCTACTCTGCATTCCTTGAACGATTAACGCCAAATTCTACATCCAAGACCACTCTATACCTAAAAGTGTTTGTAGTTATCCCCTTTAAATTATTCAAAATTATTTAAAATTTCACCACTTGGATACAAATAAAATCTATTTGTCTTTTTCCATAAAATAGTTATCAGTTCCATCAACTTCACAATCAAAGATCAGTCACTCTTAGTACATTCCACAACCTAGTACCCTCCTCACCCTTAGAGAACCCCATAAAAACTCTCTATGACCTCACTCTACCATGGACCTAATCCTGTGTTCTTAGTCTACCATAATCAATGGAACTCTAATCAAACTTGACACGTTTAAAAAACTTTATACTATTTTAAAAAAAAATTATTAGCTTCTTATCATTGGACAACAAAACGTTTTTAAATAGTCACCTCAAACATTAAGGCCATGTTTGATATACATCTGACCGAGTCAGGCCAGACATTTTTTTGACTCTGTCAGCTAAAGGTGTTTGACAAACTAAATTTGGGAGTCTGACTTAGAAAGCTTAATCTGATCGGGTAAGATGGAAAAAATCGGCTGACTGAGAAAGGGGAAGAAAAGGAGAAGGGTTTCCAAGTGTACCCTTGCCCTACCGAAGGAAGAAATCAACGACTCCATCGTTTCTTCTCCTCCTTTAACCCCGACTTTCTTCTCCCGCAACCAGCAATCGTCGACGATCCTCTTCTCATCGGTTCCGATTTTTTGAAGCCTCTTTCATCTTCTCATCAAGTACGCTTCTTCATTTTTCCTCTTCTCATCAGTTTCGATTTTTTGATAATATATGAGTTTCGATTTATGATTTTTTTGTTGAACATATATGGTTCTTCATTGAATTCTGAAAATTTCTCAATGAATTTAGGCCCTGTGCTCAATTTCATCATATTTCTTTTGTTTTAGAATTGTGCTCAATTTCAAGGAGGGAGAGAAACCTGCGATATTTGTTGCTCTTATTTTCTTGATTTGTAGCTGCAATTTGTATTAAATAACAAAGAAAACCTGCCGGTAAGGGATGATCGATTGCAACCTACTGGTAAGCTCCTGATGCATGTTATATGTTTGATAAAATGTGTGAACCAATATTTAGAGTTTATTATTGTTGTCTATTAGGGACACCAATTCTCTCTTTTTTATCAAAAACCTATGATATGGTAGATGAATCGGTATTAAACCAGATCATCTCATGGAGCGATAGTTCAAGGATAATGGTGCAAGCTTTCATTTTGTTCTATACATCTATAACATAGTTCTCTGTATATCATCTTTTCTCTTCCCCTCTGTAAATTTCTCAATGTAATCTGATACTTGACATTGATAATAAAGGTGTTTTTTTCTTGATCCATATTCTCACTTGGTTTTACAAGTTTTTTTTTTTTTTTTTTTTTTTTTTTTTTTGCTTATATTCTCACTTGACATAGAACTCTTCTGTCCTTCTTCCTTACCTTATATTAATGAGATGCACTGTTTAACTAGTGAATAAGAAGAATAATATTGTTGCTATATATTAATGAGATGTACAATCAAGCAGCATGGTAAAATGATTATTTTTCATCACCCAACATAGGGGTGTAAGTGAGCCGAGCTACTCGGGATCGACTCGTTAAAAGCTCGACTCAAGATCAAATTAAACGAGCCTGAGCCGAGCTCGAGCCTAAATATGAGGCTCGTTTATTAAACGAGCTCGATCCGAGCTTCAATTAGTGGGCTCGCGAGCGTAAACGAGCTTAAACGAACCTATATATATATATATATATATATATATATATATATATATATACATACGTACATACATATATATATATATATATATATATGCTTATACATAGAGGCTCGTTTAGGCTCGATTAGGCTCGCGGGCCCACTAAATTGTTCACGAGCCGAGATCGAGCTTCATTTTAAGGCTCGAATCGAGCTCGAGCTTGGTCAGGCTCGGGCTCGGGTCGGCTCGTTTACAACCTCCTAACCTAAAATTAAGTAAGGGGTCATTTGATATGGTGTCTAACTGGGTCCATAAAAAACCAATTAGCATGTTTGATAGGGATTGTAGAGCAAGGGACTCGGTCCAACAATTTCAGCAAACTCGGTCCTTGCTTTCCATTCGATGGACCGGGAACAAAAAAAATAATACCCACATTGCCCTATTAATTTTGCACGCCTACACTTCTGATATCACCCCCCCCGGTCGATTTTATCCCCTCGACGAAGCAACAACAGGAGCAACTTCGATCAACAGATAATAGTTTCTTCCTTTTTTCCTTCCTTCTTGTAACGCCCGGTTCCTGGTATGTATTTTAATAAAGAATTATTCATTTTTGCAAAGGGACTCGACGAGTTGGAGGCCCCAAACTCGTCGAGTAGGAATGGGAGATGTTTGGACGCAGGACTTGAAGTCTACCTGACGAGTCGAGAAGCCTCGACTCGACGAGTTAGGGTTTGCATCCTATTTAAACACCTTATATGGCCTCAACTACAGCCTCCATCACCTCCAGACCCTAGTCACGAAACCCTAACCCATTTTAAGTGTTCTTGAGCCATTGTTGTGTGTTTTGGAGATTTTGAAGCTTAAGAAGGAAGAGGAAGCTTGGGGGGTTCAAAAGGAAGCAAGTAGATCCAGAGTTTGTGCTTCATTTCCTGTTCATTTGAGGTATAAAGTCTATACCTTGTCTATTGGTTTACTAGATCTTTTCATGGGGTAGTTTAGGGCTTTTTGGAGCATAATATGGAACCATTCTTGGATGCAAGCATGTTTTGGGGTATTAACTTCAAATCCAGAATCTTTGAGGGACTCCATGGCATAAAGGTGCCAACTTTATGGCCATAGGAGTCTCATGCATCCTATGAACCACTTTTTAGGGCTTTTTGAGCTAAATAGCCCATGCATGAACGTAATGTTTGTAACTTTACGTGTTATATCGACCCTAGGAGGCCAAATCTATGCTTTGGATGCATTAAGCCCGACCCAGAACGACTGTATGGATTTGGACTTTGGGGGACTCGACGAGTCGTTCATACGACTTGGCAAGTTGGTTCGTGGTTCCCCAACATTTTCTGTCACTAATCAAAGTCGTTGAGTCTAGAAGATGACTCAGCGAGTTGGACGTGTTTATGGACTTGAAGATCAAAAGAACTCGACGAGTTCAAGGATGAACTTGGCGAGTTGAAAGCAAAATGTCCCAACTGATATGAAGAAGAACTCGACGAGTTCAAGGATGAACTCGGTGAGTTATGAGTGAAATGCCCCGAATCGTATGAAGGGAGACTCGACGAGTTCATGGAGGAACTCGACGAGTATGATCGAGACCCTAGAGTTTTATGGACCCGGGAACTCGACGAGTTGATGGACCAACTCAGCGAGTTGAGTCAACCAGGGTGTTGACTTTGACTTTGACCTTTGACCAGAGTTGACCTTTAAAGGGGTTGTTGTGTGTAGGAGTTTGAGAGGAGTTGATCCCAGCACCGAGGACAGTTCAGCTACTTCACGACATTGAGGTGAGTTATCTTCCGGTAAACGTGGGTCTAAGGCCACAATGTCGGCCCACTAGTAGGACTTATAAGTTAGATGATTGTCTATAATTGTCTGGTATGCCACTATCTGTTATTCTATATGTGTTAGTATATTACTATGTGGTAGTGGTAGGGGTGAAATAGTCCCCGGTTACCGGTTGAAAGATACCAAAGGGGAGGCCAACACCCAAATTTCTTCATTGAATGTTCTGTTTAATTTATTCCCACGATCAGCTACGTCTTTGCCTTCTCCATTAAGAATTTTTTTTAATTGTTTGATGATTTCTTCCCCCCATTCATTCCTTCTGTTTTTGGCTGAGAAATATATGATTTTTTAGTGGGATTTCGTTTTTGCTGAAATGTATACGA